GCACGCAAGTCAACGAGTTTTTCACCCCTTGGCCACCTAACCCAAGTCAAGGCAAGTTGAGTGACATCCATTCGTTGATATAGCAACCTATTAGCCAATGAAATGCAGGATATTGGCCCGCGAGGGACTACGCCCGTAGCCTTGAATTTTTTTATTATTATTGTTTTATTTTATCTATCTATTTATTTATTTATTTATTTATTTATTTTGCAATTTTCCAGTACTTGCGAGGAAACATGCGAGTCCGTTTGGCTACACAACGCAAGTAAGTCTCTTCAAGTCCGTTTGGAAGGGGCTTTAGGCTAAGTGACCAGTTAATAATATATATAAACGTGTCTCATTTACACCACAAAGGAATAACCACTATAGAGGCAACCTATCTTGAAAAACACTCATCGTAATTTAGTTTTCAAAACATCTCGAACAAGTGCATTGGACGTGCTCGTACACTGTCTTGATTTGTTTATGGGCACTGTATCCACTTCCGCATAGAATTTCAACATCAACCGGTACTCTGCTGATAGGCTTACAACACCAACATGTTTTACCGTTCCAGGATTCCTCAGAATGACACGTTCCTGCACAAACGTCTAGGGAAACGGTTCTCTTCTGACAGCCGACAACTTTGACCTCCACTGGATACGATGTAGTCGTACAGACCTCCTGGTGTACTGCTCCATGCACCTGGTAGCAAGCAACGGAGACGAGTAAGAGGGTAGCTTGGAGAAGCAGCGCCTGTGATTTCATGTTTCCTGTTGAGGTTACAAGGCTCAAGGTGAACTGTAAGAATCTATAGTGAAACAAAATGTCTTTGTTTTTTAGGGGGCAGGGGAGGGGATGTTTTTCAAAACAGAACCTTTTTTAGGTTAAGAGGTCCTTATGTCTTGGTATATTGAAATATCTCATGATAAACATGTAAACGGACGCGTGTAATTAAACATTCAAAACTGAAACAGGTTCTTATTTGGAAATTCAGAACAAAAAGAGAAAATCTAAATTCATTTAGAGCAGTTTAGTTTTGTTGAAGTCTACTTGAGCATTAGCAGCCGAGATAACCCATTTTCGAGTTGCTTTTTACCTCTTTTTGAAAACGGGTCCTAGTGCATAACTTCTCATAAGGAAACGAATTTGATTTGCAAGACAAAGCACATGCAAGAGAAAGTCATATGCGTAGGTTGTTCACCAAGACTAGTTTTGAAACAGAGGTAAGGGCAACTTGGAAATGGCCTATTATACAGAGGTCCTACAGTAGGAATTACTTAGGCAGTCATTTTGAGCAAAGCTACAATCATGGACAAAAGTTTTGGGACAAATTTGCACTTTTGGCGCTTTTGCGTACACGCCAGACGCGAATACAACTTCCCCTGCCTAACCTCGCCCCCCACCCCACATATAATGTTGAAAACCAGTACCTGCAATTTCACCTGATTTTCAACATTGTGTTGGGTGGGAAGAGGGGACAGCAACGCGTTTTAAAAGGATATAGCAGCGTTCTTTTCAAACTTCGACTCTTAAACACAGATAATTCGTTACATTACATAATATTACATAATATGTCCCAAGGACTTTTGTTCACGATTGTAGTTGTTTCTTTCAAATAAGCAAAGGAAAAGATCCATTCAGACCAGTTGCTGGACTATCGTAAGCGCATAAGACACTAAGTAACTTACTTTTCAGGCTAACTTGGAAAAACTTTGGTTCAGTTGTTCTTACACGCCGGTTGTTGATGTAGAAATTCTTAGACGAGATGTTATGACTCTGGAAATATTAACTTGTTCTCCAGGACTGACTATAACACGTTCTAAAGCTATTGGGTTTCTTGTACTTGTGGTATTCGGTCCTACTCTACTTAAAAATTTCTAAAATTTGCAAAGTGAACTAACAGATCTGCAATCATGTCGAGTTCCAATTTCAGGTCATACTCTGATTGTAACAGGTCTCATGGAGAAGTATTAAATTCTCCCTACCTTCTCCCCAGAGCTGACATCATTGCTATGCCGTATGTAACAATATTCACGATTTATTAATAGCTTTACCGTAACCAAATACGTTCGATATATCAATATTCTAACATGGCTCCGAGGCTTTCGGGTCAAAATGCAAATTTTTAAAGTTTCTTTTGTCTCTCAAATCCCAAAAGAGACGTGGATGCAAAGAAAGCAACACCGAATATAGAAGTTTGTCCTGAAAGCCTCGGAGCCATGTTAGAATATTGATAAATCGAACGTGGCCTATTAGCCAATCACAGGTCGTGTCCACTGTCCGGAGACCCCGCGATATCAAGACACTGACCTAATATGGCTACGATGTCATGCTCACTTGGCCGTATTCTCGCCAAAATACGAACCATGGCTCGTCCAAACTCCCTGATATGCCACCGAAGCATACCAAGATGGTACAATTAGATGTAAGTTTCGACATAGTGAATGGTTTCGACAAACGTTGTCCAACAAAAAGCATAAAAGGGTTTGCTCTTATGCCGAAAGATATTAGGGGTAGTAATATTCTCGCGCTGCTTTGTTGAGAGATTCACGATGTTTCAACAAGTATATCAAGAACCACACTGAAACACTTTGAGCTTCAACCAGGCAACGGTGAACCACTATTACCCATAATACCTTTCGACACTGTCGCACACGCTTTTACGCCTTTGAACAGCTGTATATTTATCTATTTATTCGTTGACCGAAAAAACAAAACAAAACAAAACAAAAAACAGAAAAAGAAAGGTAACAAGCATCACACAATCAAGCAGAGAAAACTAAAGCAAAAAAATGTTTGCAATCTCTGTTTACTTATTAAGCTTGAGTGCAGGCGAAAAATTGCTTCCGAGGAAGGAAGGAAATCAATGGACCCACGTAGGCTATTTACACTTATCTGAGTGTTTTTGATAAATTACATAAACAAATCAAACATCTTAAAACATCGCCCACGCTGGTTTGAAAGTACGTGGGCAGGTTTTTATCAATTGTGGAGTAGTTTTGAGCCCATTAATTTAATTTAAGTCATAATGCGTCAAGCCTCCTGGTGTATCGTGGTGTAGTTAGTAACTGCAGTGGTTTTCTAAGAGCAGAAACTTTGAAGGGGTCATGCTTATTACAGCTTTTATTTCAATAAGGCCGTCCCCATAAAATCTTTCGTTTCCTATCGTTCACTCTCTCACAAAAGTGACTCTCGATCGGTGGAAAAATAAAATAATATAGAGTAAAATAAAAGCGGGAAAAAGAAATATTTTCAAATTCAAAAAATACATTAGTCCGTGGGAACTTTGACTGTATCTTCCTGTCATTTTACAGCATAAGTCACAATCTCTTTTTCAAGGTGTCTGAAGACGTCGTTAAGAGGATTGAGTTAGATATAAGAGTATATCGTAGACGTATAAGAAGCTTACTAAACTTGGGAACATCCGAAAAATGGGAGCAATTAATCGAAAACACTTCTATACTGTTCGATATTGCAAAACAACTCAGTCGGTGGCAAACGAAACATTTGACGAGGACGGCTTAGACCTTATTATAGCCTGAGGAAAGAATATTGCCTGACAAACATACACACGAATATTAACCTGCATGTAATACTGTTTGGCCTGTCTAAGTTCATATGATTAGTTTGTTGTTGCTGTTGTTGTTGTTGTTATTGTAAAGCGAAACTGTAAAAGCGCAATTTCCATATTTTTCCATGTATCTTTCTAATCCGTGATTCACCACAAAACAGTTTCGTTTCACAGCTCAGAGAATTAATTATTGCTTGCTTCCGCGTGTTACAAAGCTGTCGAAATGTTACAAAAGCTGTCGATATCACCTTTTAGTTATGAGAGCAAATTCAGGCTCATTACGTTTCGCAGCAAACGCCGTACTCAAATATATTTACTTTTACTAATTTAATTCTTGTTCGCTAAATTTCCGTATAGGTTTTTGAAGATGAAGAAATCATTCTTATTCATATACATGAATAAACGGAAGAAATTTTTTTCAGAATCTTTTCAAAGTTAGAGATTTTGTGAGTTTCCTGTCAGTGTCAACTCTTAACGTGAGAATTTTCATGCTTTGACAGCGAATCTTGAAATTACCTCAAGTTTTCAAGTGCAGCGTGACAGCATTGAAAAGTTGACATCTAAATCACAACCTTTTATCTTAATTTGTCAAGTCATGGCATTTTTTTCGTGAGTTTTGCAAAAATTCTGCTAATGACATACTATGGATGCAGATGCTTAGATGGCATATGCATGGGATGTCTAACTGACGTATTAGCTGAAAAGAACTTGTCAACCAGTCTGACTGATCTAAATAAGCATTTTTGGACTTGATAAGAGTTTTGTCATTGCTAGATTTTCTTTTTGTAAAGATAAGTTATCTAATGACTAGAGCTATTCTTCTTGCAAAGAGCATATCTCGAGAGTTGATTTTATCAAAATCCCTTGTAAGCTAGAGCTTGGCATTTTTTTCGTTGGAAAGAAATCCCTAAGATACATGATAGAAGCCTTCGTGGAATTCTAAGGGTTCAAGTACAAAGTATAAATTCCCTTTCATTGTTAGTTTTGAGAATTCAATAGTACATCAAGACAGTATCTCAATCCTAGTTGGTTTAGCAATTGATAGAAGAAAATTCTTAGAATTTTAAGAGTCAAACTTTCCTACAACCAAATATTTCGTTCAAACCAGCCACTTTGTTGAAAGAGGTTTTCTTTCTAAGGATACATTTATAGGCTAAGATAAAACAGGTGAATTTACGATTTTTTTTTGCTGTTTTACGAAATAATTTGTATCAGTAACATTTTACACTTAACAGTTAAAATTTCGGTTCGATAATAGTTACTTGAAGCTTATGAAAAATCTATTCGTTGCTTATACGTTGCTAAATAGAAAAAAAAATAAATCACTAAACGTAACCGAAATTTTGTTAGACTGAGAGTAATTGCTTAGCTTCTAAAAGCTATGACAGGAAAATAAATATTAGCTAAAAAAAACCTTTCTGTAAAAAGTAAATTGGTTACCTGGAGCTGTAGTTACTCTATCTGATGTTCAAAATCGTATAAACCTGCCTGCCTGCATTCTTTAAATACTAGTTGAGACCTCGCCTGTCAGCGTTCAAATGGGTTTTATAGATTTGATTTTTATTAAAACGACTGAAAGACATTAAAAACCCCAAACGTGATACTCAAAATGTCCAACGAATGAGAGCGCATTTAACAAGAAATTAATGGAAAAGATCTTATCTTGTTAATTTATTTCCTAGGATCAGACGCGTAATTGAGATTTATATCTGTATCCGGCATGGCGTGAAAAGTACTTCCTCGTCAACGATACGATAAAGTGTTTTGCATGTAGAATTTTTTATTTCACTTCTCCTTTTTTCTGGGCGCTTCAACTGGGCAAGACTGCACTCACTGAGGTAAAAGTGTCATACTAATCTATGATTCTCTTGTGTTGAGCTTTATTCTGTATCGCTGTTTTAAGGACCCGCGTAATATTGACTCAAATTTTAGAAGATGATCGGTTTAACATCACATCAAACGTCAGCGGCAATTTAAAAGGGCAACAATTTATTGATTGACCCAAATTTCATGATTTTTTAATCCTGTTCCATCAGCGTACAAGAAATGTTTTTCGAAATGTCTTTGTGTTTCGTCGACTAGATGCCTTTTGTTTTCATTTCAGTGAACGGACTTCATTTTCCCAGCTTAGAAAAGCCCATAAACAATTTTCCTTATTTTTAGAAGTGGGACTAAGTACAAAAAATCTTTTTGACTTGCTTGACATTATTGCAAGTTTCGCTCAAGGTAGCCGAAGTCTGAAGTTCGTTAATTCATTTTGTCAGTTTATAGAGGAAAAGTTTCTGAACGAATATAACTCACTTTTTGAGGGAAAGTTTAGTTTATTTTTTCTATTTCTGTTAATCTTTCTGCTAGGCACGCGCCTTATTCAATTCTTTCGTAAAAGTTCACATGTGTTTTTTTTTCCATAAATATGCTTTTTAAGCCAAAGTAATGATAAAAATAAATGAAGTCGGACACTTTAGTTGTTGACTGACGTTTTTAGCTAAACAGAGATACAATTTTCGTGTGAAAACATTGAAATGTAGTGCTTATTAAATTTGCGATAATGCGTCGGCGAATTATTGTCTTTTTAATTCTTTTCTAAAATTTTCACAACAAGGCTAAACTTGGAAACTTTCAAATTAAATGAACAAGTTAATTGAATTTTAAGTAGCTTTACCTTCACCAAAATAGGTGTTATAGAAGTTAATACAGCGAGACAGCGTTCGTTGGTTTTGTTCCGTTTATTTTACAGCTGGAATAGGAATCGCCCGAAATCAATTCTCAAAGCGACCGCCGTTTCGCCGGCGCTAACACTCAATTTGCCTGCTTCAATTGCGCAACGCTACCAAGAAAGCGTTTTTAATCTTATCATGAAACCGATTCTCAATAATTCTCATTTAAAAGTCCGCTCTTTGATTATTCTTCAGCGCTAATTCTTAAGTTATCGCCAGTTTTCCTGTAATCTATACCGAACCCATTTTGTTTATGATTCAGCCACAAACAAACATTCATAATCTCAGTTGTCGAAAATGGTTGCTTTCGTTTGCTTTTATGTTATTCCATTTTAAAACAGTCTCGTAGACTCATAACCTAGTATAACTGCCTTAAGGCAAATAATTTTACGTCTTTTTGTCAAAGTTCTTAAAGAGACCATGCAACAAAGTTTCGCCGAGTTGATATGTGCATGCGATTTAACTCAACTTTAAACTTTAAACTTACAATATCAGAGATATGTCAAAACAAGCTCCGCCATACTGCGTAGTTTACAAGAACTTTCGATCTTTCATTAATCCTTTACGCTTACAGAAATTTGAGAAAAACCACGGAAAAGATGGCGAAAATCTTCACGAAATGTAACAGGCTATCTTTATTATACACGTTTAATATCCTACAAAATTGCTAAGAGATAAAAATCATCGGAAAAATAACTCAGTAAAACGATAGGCAGATAATACTAGTGATCAGGGCTTCGATTTTTAATCGGAACTCAGCCATAAATAAGGATAAAAAAACATATTTTAATACTCCCCGCATTTTGTGTGTTTGTTAACAGACTTAAGTTAAAACTCAAATTGACTGGTTTACAAAATGGTAGATATTTTCAGTAAAGTAAACTCAGGTTATACAGAAAAGTTACCAGACTTAAATTACGAAATCGTGTTTAACCCTTATATACATATATATATATATATTTTTTCCAAGTCGTTCAATTTGATGTGGTTTTTGGAAAGACTTGATGTAAAAAGAAATTTACTTGATAACAAGTAAGCAAAGTTTTTCGATTGAAAAAGGTTTATTACAAGCAGAATTTAAATGTTTTACACTTCCACTAGCTAAGATTTCATCGATTAGGATAAAAACATTTATTATTTGGTTACTTTATAATAAGCTTACCTTGGTGGATTTGTAATTACTTCGACTATGCCTCTGTAATTTTGAGTTCAGTTGTATTCGTCCTCGGCCACCGTTTTTTGGTTTGTGATCAATTTTTAAACAATGATGTCGGAAGCCAGGTGTGCTAGACTTAAGCTTTAGACTCGTGGTCTTAACGAGCTTTATTCTCCCTTATCTTTTGTTCCATGAAAACGCCCCCCACGTCTTTGCTATGAATAAGTGCCCGGAAAAACGAAAATAAAAACAGCTCATAAACTGCCATCTTTGTTGATTTCATTTTTTAGTTCACAAGAAGTAATTAACTCGAAGTCTATTAAAACTTGACTGAATTGTTTGTCCATTGGACAACAGGTAAACCAACAGCTTCTAAGCATTTTGTTTTGAAGTCAGCTTATGAAAAACATCACGTAAAAAATTTAAACATTTTGCTTTGCGAATGAAAGATTTCTCGTTTAGGCTGACTTAGCATTGTCTGATCAATTGAAGTTGTCGCATGGTCTGTATAAGGTCTAAGAAATATGTCTGAAGCCACTTTTTGAAAGAAGGTCTCGGCTCCAGCCGTTAAATTGTGAATTGAAAGCAGTCCTTGGTTTATCAATTATTTAAATATGGACAAAATTAAAGGTAGGCTTGAACTAGTTGCGCAATGGACACAATGTAAGTTGCGAAACCGGACTTTAGAAGACCACGCGGGCAATAATTCACGATATTTCACCTGCGTCACAATTTCCTAGTCATAGTTGATGCGTTTTTAATTTAGCCTCGATTAGAATGTTTCGCCTCTTTGTTCATTGAATGGGAAGACACCAAATGGCAAAGGACGAAGTCTATTGAAAATAGCGTTTATCCGGTGTTAATTTCGAGAGCACTGAGATCGATATGTCCTTCTCCATCTAATAAGAAGGCGTTTGTGTTATCACCACGTTAAGGTTGAATGAATTCATTCTTTACAACTCAACAAGAACTGAGAAGAAAGACGACGCCTTTTAGCGAAAGCATCTGCGTTTTAGGTCTATTTAAACCCGCTTCTTAAACACTGTGTTGAAACCAAGCTGCCAAGCGCTTCCGAGGTTTGACTGAGCCAAATGCCCACGCCTTACTTGAGCAGCGTTTCGGCTGATGTCATCAATTCAAAATTAAATTGTAATTCTTAACTGATCTTATTAATCCGGCTTCCGCTTTATTGTCGGACATACAATCCAACTTCGTTTAATCGTTGTTTCATTTCATAAACTTCTTCCGACGCCTGGCAAACATGCGTCATTCAAATGTAAAACTGTTCTTTTCAACAGAAGCTAGCTTTCCCAGAGAGCAGAGCCTTCTGTTGGAGACGCCATTTAACTTGACAAATAGTTAAGAAATAAAACCGAAAGAGTGTAGCCAGCAGAAACATTGGACGAAAAACTTAAAGTCATCCATACTGAGGTAAGGAACTAAAATAATGTCTGAGTGTATCTAAACAAACAAATGAACTGTCAAAACGTGCCGAACCTTGCTTGAACATTTCAATTTTGTCCTACAAAATTTCTGCACTAATTAAATGAATCTCAATTTGAATGTGTTTGCGTTAAGATTGAAGCAGTCAAAGAACTCTATCGTAGCCGATTTCTCGTGGCTTAAAAAGTCTTTCGATCGTCTATTAAATTACGTTCTCTTATTCCAGTTCGTGAATTTCAATTAAAAAAGGCGTTTTCTCCAATTCAAATAAAAGCAAAATAGTGCTGGATTATAGCTTAGCATTTAGCTCCGACACTTTAGGGCTTCACGTCATAAGGACTTGTGATATATATGAAAATGAGGGAAACTTTCAAAGTTTTCACTTAAATGAGCTGACCAGCAAATGATATCAAATATCAAGCGGTCTGATCGCTATCGTGCAATACATGTTTTATTTCCTTTCGAATGGATAACAAATCTTTATTTTGAATCCAGGTATCTATATGTTTTATAACTATTGCACGCGGTCCAAATTTGATTACCTTGTTTAACTATTGATCTTTTTACTTGGCTCAGTCTAGAGACTTGTAGAGAGCGTTTTGATCACAAGTAAAAACTTTTGATAACATGCTCTAAATATCGAGGGTTAATTTTTAACAAACTATTGAATGAAAGATAATCAATGGTACAAAGGTTTTGGTTCGTATGCAATCGCACCAAGACCAGCGAAAATGAGTGGTTTATTCCGAAAGTCGCTTATAAGTCTCTAAAACCGGTTAAAAAAATTTCTTAACTTCTTTTCAAGCCAGTTTTAGCTTGGTAGCAGTTTCTCTCACAAGTACCAATTTTCCAAGCTCAATAAATGTTTCATTATGTTGATCACAAAAGCACGGAAGGGGTGAAAGATCGATGGTGAACGATTGTCTATCTCACGGAAAATAATTTGTCGTTGTCATAATTGAAAACGAAGCTCGTTGTAATTATATTATTTTAAGAACTTTTTTTTAAGTTTCCCATTTATAAATCTGTCACTGAAAACCTGCTAAAAAAAGGGTGATAGTCTTACAGATCTTTCTCTTTCTAGTTTCGTCTAAAGTTGTGAAAGGTAGTTTTTCGCTTTTCAGTTGAAAACGTGATTTTGCCAGGAAATCTTTCATCAAACTTCGTTTAGCTACTGTAAGCCCGCGAAGATAAATATCCTTTTCAGTTCCAAGATCAAAGTATCAGTTCTCTTAAGTGACTGTGATATATTCCTGTCAGTGTCATTTTGCAGAATTTGGTGTTTCATCAAGACATCCCCAATTTATGAGCTTTTCTTTTCTCATTACCCGTTTGCTTGCAATTTAGATGCAAAATTGTGAGGGGAATCCAAATGTTGATCTCGGGATACTTCAACTAATAGGAAATATAGATAACAGAAAGAAAAGGAAACTTCATTGATAAACCTCCTAGTGCGGGGTTCTCAATATCTAGGACTTTCTTCCTGTACAAACCTTTCTCGGCGGAAACTAACTCAAAAAATAACGAAAAACTCATTAACCTTTGATGTTACAAGATAACCAAGAGAAACAGGTGCAAATTTGTCCTTAAATGGATGTAAATATGACACACGTTGGTCTTAATTATTCTTTACTCGACACAAGAGCTCCGTATATACGCGGTCCAAGTAAGTAAACCTTCATTTTAATCATAGGGTTTTTTTTTCACATGAATGTCGAAACGTATTCCCATTTATGCGCTACTAAGCTAAGCGATTAGCCTAAAAAAACTCCCGTTACTCTGTCATCAGTAGCTTAAAAACCATAACCAAGGTAATCAATCTAGCCTATCAAAGGGACAAAAGAAAATCCAGTGAACCAATCAAAAGTCAAAGTAATTACATGTCGCTGGCGCAAAGCGCGGGAAAACGAATGCGAGTGAGTCACAATTGGTTTTGGTTTAACTTCTGATTGGACAGAAAAGTGGCGCGAATTTTTTAAGCCAATCATAGCGTTGCAAAGCCGATTACTTTTCAAACGGAAACCGCTCTCAGAAGTTAAACCAAAAGCAATTTTGACCAATTCCACATGTTTTTCAGCCAGCCGAGTCAGTAAGATTTATATTTTTACGAGTATTGACTGGTGCATTGGATTACGGGCTGTGTTCTTTGTGAACGGCCAGAGTGATTATTTTGGTTTAGGTTTTGCTACACGCAATTGAAAACTGCTCTAGCCAACAAAATCACGGTATTGGATGAGATATACTGAAAGAATACATAGCTAAGAAATGTTTTGCAATGGGAAAAAACCAGATCTACAAAGCCGAATTTTAAGTTTCCACCCTACCCTTAAACCCTACCCTCCCTAACTATAAAAATTTCCAGCGTTCTGATTCGTTATCAGCCATATTACAAACTTCTAGTCCCCGGATAATGCATTTCAAGCTTTGGCGGCAAGACCGGAAAGCGTCGCTCAGTTTGATTTTTTCCCCAGTATTAAATGGGAAGTTCTGTCAAAAAACAAAATGGCTGCAAACAGTACTTTTAATAAGCTTTCTATCGAGAAAATATTAAGAATAATCAAGAGAAAATGGACTTATAAAGTAAAGACAGCTACCCAGAGTTTGATAGAAACAAAAAGAGTAATAAGCGTTAAATCTATAACAAAAGCGACTGAATGAAGAGAAAAGTCGGCAAAATCTGCATGAAGATTCACAAAAGAAACACACTGAGCCCCAATGAACTACCTGAACACCTAGAAAAGGCTAGAAACNAAAAAAAAAAAAAAAAAAAAAAACACGGGAAGATACAACCGACACAAACTAAAATCGCTCAGCTAGTGATCATGAAAACAGATTTTCGGCATACAATTAAGCTTAGCACTCCAGTAAAGTTTACCTCCTTACATTTGTCTTGTCCTTTTGAAGTTAGCTTCACTGTTCAGTGAACACTATTGGTTCTGAGCTGAGCATAAACAACTATTGGATGAGGTTTCTTGTGATATCCTAAATGATCTAGGTCGAGGTAGGGGTTATCACTTGTAGCTGAAGGCTGAGGCTGATAACTCCCTTCGCGAAACATGACTAATTTCAATGGACTCCTTTTGTTCTCTTTTCAGAACGATGAGAAATCCTATTTTTTTCACAATCGCCATATTGCTGCTTAGTCACGTGACTTGGGCAGGATATTGGGCAGACTGGGGAGTCACGTGTGAACCGGAAGTCGAAAACATTCCAGTTTGTGGAGGAGTGAAGTCCGCTCCCGTTACAAAGTGCCGCGGGACATGCCGCTCTCTTAGTACAATTACGATGAATTTTCCCTGGTACAAAACTAAATGCCAATGTTGTAAAGCGAGCGGATTGAAGCCGGAAGTGATACATTGCAGCAACGGAAGTAAAGATGAAGTATTTCATGCCGACGGCTGTTCGTGTCAAGATTGCCTCGGAGTTTGATACAGGAGACGACCACAACTCGGAGCAGTGAAACCAAGCATGAAAAAAAACGGAAAACGTTTTCGAAGCGTAAAAGAGAACTAGAAGATATCAATATTTTGGCCTCGGGCACAAACTGGTCGTTAAAAATATATAGGAATTTCTAATTTAAATTTAGATCTAGTGAATGTAACGTAAAATAAATTTCCTGAATGTATAGCGAATGAAGAGCACTGTGTCTCAGACGCAACATTGAACATATCTGCCTGGTCAAACATATCAGTTGTTCAACATAAAACATAACAACCTTTTCCTCGACATAAAACTGGTCATTTGGTGCTGTCACGTGGCACGTGGCACGTGGCAGGCTATCACGCTGTCACGTGATATATGAAGTCTGCCTACTACTACTTGAATATGGTTTTTAACTGAATTGTTTCTGGGGCGTGTTTGGCTGCAAAATGTAATAACTAACACAGAATGTAACAACTTTTTCACGTAAAATGAAAGAGTAGCCTGAATTGTAACAACTATGGACACAAAATGTAACATTTCTTTTTCAAATGTAACTCGAATTGTAACAACTTTTTAACTCACAATGTAAAAAGGTTTTAACGCGAAATGTAACAGCTCGTCTAAATATATAAAGGAAATTTAGAGATATTAGCGTTGCTGTCGAGTTTAATATCTCCTGTCAATTCAAAATTTTTACTCTCGCTGAATGGCAAATTTCCTCTGAGATGAATACATTTACCGTGATTCCCTGCAGGCGCGTCTCATGGACGTTACTGGCCATTGAAAAGTTACGTTGTTATAGAATTGTTCGTGATTGTCATACCGAAAGTCCGTGTCTGCCCGTACGCACGTCAACTCTATATCTCCTAACGTTAAACGAACGAATAATTACTGTAACACTTTTCAGTCATAGATGTAAACGTTAGACGAAAATTGCTTATATTTCCGTTGTCGTACAAGGTAGAAGCACGAGCCTTGGATGCCCTGCTCGATATCTTCATTGTTTGAACAAAGAAAAACAAAAAAATGATGGGCTGGTATACTGACTGGTCACGCTATGGCACTGACAATGGTAAATGTTTATTTCTGCAATGGAACAGCTAACAAGGTTCACATTCGTCTTGTTTATTTAATTTCTTTGGCACCGACCACACTACGTCGGAGAAATTTGAACAAGGCGTTTTCACTCTGAAAACGCATCAAATGTTTTCCTTCCACACTACGTCGGAAGAATTTGAAAACGCAACAATCACCGGTCATTTTGGATTTGCGTTTGAGAAAACTAGGTCAGGAAAATCACACGATTATCGCAACGCCATCGTTTTCGAAAAGCTCCGTATTCAGCATAATTTCTGTCCACACGAAAACAAAAAGCCGACGTCTTCAAATTTGTTCAGTTTGAAGAACGTTTTCGGATAACATGGACGGTAGGCCTAACCGTACAAATACAGCTGGGTTTTTCAAATTTCTCCTACGTAGTGTGGACGCCGCCTTTATTTTCAAAGAAGTTACCACATGCTAATATAAGCATGCGCTAAATAGCCCATCAACGTACATAACCATATTATTGTACCAATTAAGTCTGCACAGGAGCCGAGTGGCTCATCAGGCCGGAAATTTTCCCGGTTTATGTAGCTTGAAGCGACTAGAAGTATTTCTACTCCTCCCTGGATGGGATGCTAGTCCATCGCAGGGTTACCCCCAGCATTACGTTCGCCGGTGGAGAGAGGCATTGTGAGAGTAAAGTGTCTTGCCCAAGAACACAACACGATGTCCTCGGCCAGGGCTCGAACCCGGACAGCTCGCTCCAGGGACGAGCGCACTAACCATGAGGCCACCACTGACGCCTCCCACTATTGTAACACTACTGTATTGTTACTGTAACAGGGACTCTGTTTGTGTTCTTTGTGCTATGACGGATAGAAGCATCAGTGCATAATAAGTATGTATGTTATGTTACATTTTGCGTCAAAGTTACACTTTGCTTCAGTGTTTACATCTTGCAGTGCAACATGTGGCAAACCCCTGTTTATACCACAGTATCTATCGCCACTATGTAAACAGTTTATCCCTGACGCCAAAACAACACCGTTTTGTTTCACCAGAAATGGAAAAAAAAAAAAAAAAAAAAAAAAAAACAAGTTGCAAATCTAGAGAAGTGATTTAATAACACCATGACCTTGTATTCATCCGAGGAAATAACCGGGACATAAAGTATAAGATTAATTGTTTTTTCAGTTACTCGCATATTCCTGGTCACCAAAAACTAAATATTTTGTGTTCACCGCAGGGTGTATTTAGTAGGTTTCTGTTTCTTGCCACTTCACGGCTATCACTTCAGTAATTATCATGAACTTGTCTTGGTTCTTTAAGTCTTTGAAAGATATTGCCTAGTGCCCAGGCGTACTCGTGCTCCTAGTTCATGACGTCACTCCTGTATGACGTCATAGACCACACACGAAGCGAACACTTTGTATGTTTTTACTTCTTTAGTTTTCCCTGTTCAGTCTTCTAAATCCGAATGACGTAGGAATCGCTAGAAAGGGAAGCAAAAACATTGGTAGTGTGTAATTTAAACAGTTTTTCTTTTATGTGTATGGAAAACTACGGAACATTTAACAAGACAATCAAATGGATTCTAAACAAACTAGCGCCGGCTGTGCAAAGGACGGATAAAATGTTATCCACCAGACAAATCATTATCCACAAGATAGCGTAGAATGCTTTGTCAACACACATCGTCTGTATAGTCGTGGATAGCATTGTCTACCCTTTGAACACGTTGGTCCTGGGGCCTGCTGTGTTACAGGCGAGCCGGGCAACAAGCGTTAGCCACGGGTTAGCAACGCGCGTTAGCCACTCTTAGGAGCAAACAGAACCCGACAGTATAAGCAAGATCCCTGTAGGAGCCAGCCATCTATCTTTCGGTAAGGAGACTGACTGAACTTTGTCAGCGATTATATTAGCTTCATAAGCAAATCTCACTTTTGTCATAAATTACCTTGCTCACGTACAAAAGACTCCAATAAACGTGCTTGCTCCACAATTATTAAGAACTTCCCTTATTACGGTTTTACTGGTAGTTTCGATGAGGTTTGTTTCTTACATCGGATGCCGAGTTCGTTACTGTTTAGAGTTAGCACGGTAATATATTTCATATCTCACCTGTGAGTGATGTAACGGACCCAACGGAAGGGGCTGTAAGCTTTCTCGCGATCCTGCACGCGCAGATATCGGATTTGAAGACCGGAGCAGATATGCATCGGTATTTCGAACTCCAAACTGGAATAAAAAATATGTTAATAATAACATATGTGAACGAACAAAAGACAAATGCAGGTTCAAAATTGCAGCGGCTGGAAAATTATCAGCAAAGACTGGACAGTTTCAACAATTCAGATTGAATGTTCAGATTGAATGGACAGATTGAATGAACTAAATCATGATCGTTACACATACGAATTCTCATTACTCATCGCCATACATTTAATCTCCGTTCTGGGCATTTGGTAGAAAATAATATTCTCCTGTTGATGATTTTCGTTATTCTCAACAGCCGCTGAGTGCTTGAAAATGTATCGATAATGTAAGAGGAAGTTAGAAATTCATAACATTACCCACCTCACGGGGCCGACTTCTTTTCTTGCAGATTTTCGCTTTTCACTCATGTGGACCTGAAAACACGACATGAAACAACATTTAGGAAAAATTTAACCTAAATTTTAAGCAACGTTGAAATAATTAACTTCCGTGTCTTTTGTTTAAAAGAATCGAGGAAGGCAAGTCCAACTATTACAAAAAGAAAGAAAACATTATTTGCTGTCGGAGTCGGAAGAATCAGAACGTTTCAATTTCTTCCGATTCCGTTTAAGACTCCGTCGCTTATGATCCAGGGAAAAAGAGATTGTCGGAGTCGGAAGTAGAAACGGAAGAACCAGCCAATCACTAGGTCCGGAATCAAACATTGTGATTGGCTTATTCATCCGCTTTTGCTTCCGACTCCGATAATCCAGTTTTCATTAGATCGTAAGCGACAGAGTCATAAGTGAATCGGTGTTCTGCTTCCGACTCCGTCGGTTTGATTTTCACTGGATCGTACACGCTTCTGATTACGGCTCCGACGATGACTCCGTCGCTAGTGAAGACCAGCCTTATTAAGCACTTACTGTCAATGGTAAGTTCTGGTAAACTGCAACTGCTGCAAGCCAAGCTACACACTTTGTAGTGAAAGAAAAAAAATGTAAATATTGGTTTCCCCAAGCTTGCCACCGATTATATGAGTTTTCTGACAAGTTCCTTGGCTTGAAATTTAACCTCAGCATTTTTGCAATACACTTAGGCAGCCTCCACACTACGCCGGAAAAATTTGAAAAGACAAAACGCAGCTTTATTTCTACGGTCAGGCCTACCGTCCACACTAATCCGGCACGAAAACGC